CTGGTCACAAAAGGGGGGCGTGGGGGGAGGCACCCTACCGTCGGGTCTGATGGCGGTAGGTTGTGGTATCCTACCGCCTTAGTCTGTGGCGGTAGGGTGGCCCAGTGTGCATTTTTTGCACTTTCTAACTTCTTTTGTCTTCAAGTTTTTGGCGGACAACATTTAAACAGCATATGTATGACATAAGAAGCACACAATGTACGATATATGATGCACACACCACAAATCTATAAATAAAGTAGGTTCGATACATAGCAAATAGACATCCATAAATGTTTTCACCAAGTTATACATAGCAAATTAATGAAACAGTTTCACGAGCAAATCCATATGGTTCACGAAGCAAATATGCAAGTTTTAGGTTCAATGACACGGCCGCAACTTCAGTCCTTCCTTCCCCTCTTCGACTTTCGGTCCTCGTTATCCTTGGATCGCTTCTCAACTGTCGTCTTCTTGCATGTCGCAGGACGTGCTTTCTGAAAGGGGGATGGACTCTTCCAATCCTTCTTCGGCACATTCCTCTTCTCACGCTAGGTTGGCTGAGTTGCTGGAGGTCCGTCGTCATTATCGTACTCCTCCTCCTCCTCATCGTCCTCTTCCTCTTCCTCACCATGTTCTTCTTCTGCGCCCTCTTCTTCATCTTCCTCTGCATCATCATCATCGTCGCTCTCCTCCTCGTCATCTTGAACCGCCCTAGACGACGAGGCTGCATGGCTCGATGAAGCGAGGCTACGCATTGGTGCAGGAGGAAAAACATCCTCGGTGTTTGTAGCGCACCCAAGCAGGCTCACAAGCCGGCGTGCTTTATTGACGTATTTCTGCAATGATAACGAAACAATATGAACTTCTCGAATGTCCAATGATAACAAAAATGAACTCCGTATTACCTTCACCGTTTCCCTCAACTTGTTCTCACTAGCTCGAGTCCCAGGGACAGCACTAAGCGCATCAGAGGCATGAAAAATGCTTTTGTTCAGCTCCAAAGACTGCAAAGTAATAAAATGAGTCAATAGCACGAAAAGCTGTTTTCATCCAACCGTCGGTTCAAAAGAGGTAAAAACAACATACCATTCTGTTCATGAGGGGTCCGTACTCCCTAAACCCGCCTTGAAGCTATCTGATGCTCTCGTTGTAGGCTTCATTCTCTGAGGCATCATCGAACAGGTCTTCGGCATCTACTGTCGTCCATTGGGGCCTCAGACGCAGACGATGCTTGATGCCATCGTCGTACCACAGCATGTGATCCTCATAGTCATCCCGGTCAATCACTCTCCTCTACGTGTCTTTGCGTCCTTTCCACTCGTTCCATTCCTGCACATATTTCGCATGTTCGGCTTCCCAATCCATGATTGATTGATTCTTTTGCCTGCTCATCATGTAATGCATAAGAAAGAATGTAAAACATCCTCCTTGTATGAATGTAAAACATCAAAACAAGAACTTAGAATCGATGAAGATGGCTTGTGGTACTCACTGGTGTAGGTCGTAGCCACCAGTATCGTGGCCGGCTGGTGGTGTGTGTTGCGCCTTACCAAATTGTGCGGCAACGCGCTGTGGCAAGTGGTACTCCACGGCATAGGCACAAATCATGGGCACGATGCGCCGGAAGAGAAGCTGGTCCTGCTTGCACATGTTGTTCAGCTCGAACCCCCACTCTCAATCATCACTATACGACCGCCAAGTAACCTATAACCAAACAATGTTAGGATCAAGTGAAAGTGTTATCGAAACAATGGTAAGCTCAAGTGAAAATGTAGTTCTTATACCTGGAAAGGCGTGAGAGCATCAAGCTCGTTGCTGAATACCTTGTACAAGGCCTTCGATTCGCCCGTGTAGACACGCACCACGTCCCAAGCGTATGCGACGGTCGGGTTCCGATCATCTTCGTCATCTCTGCCATAGTCCATCCATGCACGTGAGCGCAGCTTCTCCGGACGCCCACCGGGATTCGCTCCCAAATCCAAATGGAGAGGCCCCATACACATCCACACATACCAGACGTGACTTCCGCTCTCTGGGTCGTGTCGTCAAGCTACAAACCATGTTCAGATGATAAGATGTCAAAATTTAAAGCAGCACATGTCTGATATTTGAAAGAAAGTGATATTCACTTACCGAACGGTATAGGTAGGTGAGTCCGGCGGCCCCCCAGCTGTACCCCGCATCCCAGTCCTTTAGGAAGTCGAGATACATCCATAGGGCAGAGTTCCCGGAGCAGTTCGGAAACACTACCTCCGTGAGAATGTACCACAGGTAGGCCCTGGCGTACTGGTCCACCACCCGGGGCTCGGCATCTTCCGGGCACTTGCTCCGGTGCTCGAGGAGCCATGACAGCGGTATGCCGGAAGTCCGGTTGCTCTTACCGAGGGGGCAGTTGCCGATGAGGCTGACAACCCTCTCGTGCCAGTTCGCCCTCTCCACTCTTCCTGTGAGAGCACGACCCTCGAGCGGTAGTACCGTAATCATCACCCAATCCTCGAGGGTCACGGTCATCTCCCCACATGGAAGATGAAAGTTGTGCGTCTCTGGCCGTCATCGATCGATCAAAGCCGTGAGAGCTGAGTGGACGAGCGTCGGCGGCTTACGCTTGAACTGCAGGACGAAACCCAATAGTCGGGCTCTCCCGAAGAACGGTGCGTACCGCTCGTCGTACTCCATCTTAACCGTCGTCTTGTGAGCCCTCATCCGCAGTGATGGCAGCATCTGTGAAAATCAATAACCAAAGCATAATTAGCATGGACATAATAGTTAGCAACTTGTTTTCATCAATTCGAAAGATTTGGTTTAAAATGGTAATTACCACTCCATTGTCAATGAAATAGGCACGGTGACGCTTGTCAAACCTAGGGTCAAGCATTGTGTACTTCGTACCGATGTCGTCTGCAAGAGGTGGCCTCCTAAAAGAATTGCATAAGCATATCAAAAGATTTTTCAACATGAACTAGGGTTCAACATTAACTACGAAACATATCGATGCATAACAAAAATTAATCACATCCAACAGAACCTATGAGTTCAATCTTTGAATAATCATATATCAAGATTATTATGAACATGAACTAATACAATATATATATCAAGAACTAAATAAAATACTTTTATGAAGATGCAATCACTATGGTTCAAATGCATCATAACACATATTTCTCCAACAACATCCAACATGCATAATCTCATTTTTGTTAAAAAACAAAAAAATGAACTAGGGTTCATCTTGAGGATTCATACACTACATATAACAAATATATCAAATATTCATCTCCAATATTCATCATACACAACATCCAATACTTGCATCATAGCGTAGGAACATGCATCATCCATCATATAAAAAAACCATTCAAATCAATTATGAACTAGGGTTCATCTTAACACAACCATACCAACTATTCAATATAGTTCATATCTAACACAATATAACATCTAGAATCAACCTAAATCAATCCTAGGGTTAAAAAAATTCAAATAGGAGAGATTTGAATCGAATAATGCGACGAATCGAAAGGTGTTTGATTAAAACTTATTGGAGGGATTGAAAGAGCTTACTTTTCTTTCTTTGGGGCCATCTCGATCCGCAAAATCCATCAAGAAGCGAAGAAGATCGGAGGGGGGAGTGGAGAGGATGAGAGAGGGCGAGTTGGAGCAACTGCTCTGTTCTTCGTGGTGGGTGCGGCTGGGTGGGTGGGAGAAGGGGGTGGGGGCGGCCGGCCCGCGGTTTATATATGCCCACACCCTACCGCTAGAGACTCCGGCGGTAGGTTCAGACATCCTACCGCCGGGTGGAGCGGCGGTAGGGGGTGACGGAGGGGGCACGGAGGCCGTTATCGTTGCTGACGTGGACAAGTTTGCTACCGCTGGAGGTCTCGTCGGTAGGCTGTATGATCCTACCGTCGTGCCTCGTGGCGGTAGGGAAAAGGGTCAGATCTCGAAAAGGTTTCAAACTGGGGTCAGATCTCGATTTTGTTTCAAAAAAAGGTCAAAACACAAAATTTAGCCCTTCGTCGTAATATTTAAGCAGTACTCATGGCAGCTTGTTTCCCCATCTGCCCAACTTCAATATGTTTCTTCACCTGTTACTTCTTGGACTTGTTTTTACCCTACATATTCCTGCATCCTCTGCTGCCATTGACTCCATTGCACCTGGCCAAGGACTTGTTTTCGGTGTCGGTGACAAGCTTGTCTCCCTAGATGGCAAGTTTGCGCTTGGCTTTTTCCAACCAGGTAGTAAGTCCCACAACACCTTGAACTGGTACCTAGGCATTTGGTTCAATAAAGTCCCCAAGATAACTCCGGTGTGGGTCGCAAACCGTGATTATCCAATCAAACAACCCGGTTTAGTTAGATTCACAATTTCCCAAGATGGCAATCTTGTCATCTTAGATCAAGCCACCAATTCCATAATCTGGTCTAGCGGAGTTAGTATCAGAACCAACACCACCATTTCCATACTCATGAACAATGGAAACTTTGTCCTACAAAATGCCTTAAACTCATCCAACATTTTATGGCAGAGTTTTGACCACCCAACAAATACTTTGCTCCCCGGTGCAAAGATCGGACGAGACAAGGTCACTGGTTTGACTCACCGTCTTGTTTCCAACAAGAACTTGATTGACCCAGCTCGTGGTCATTACTGTTATGAGTTAGTTCCTAACAAGTTGATCCTTGCGCCTTTGAACTCATCCATAGCATACTGGTCTAGCGGGGAATGGAATGGACAGTATTTTAGCTCCATTCCGGAGATGTTAAGCCGCGACTTGATAGACTTCAAGTTTGTCAACAACACAAATGAGGAGTACTTCACATTCACCTTACTGAACGACACGATGATCATGCATCATCTACTTGATGTTTCTGGTCAAATGAAGACTTTAATATGGGTTGAGGTCTCTCAGGATTGGTCACATTCCTACATCAACCCCAATGCTCAGTGTGGTGTCTATGCTTTCTGTGGACCATTCACTGTGTAAGATGACAACTCAACTCCATATTGTAGCTGTATGAAGGGCTTCTCCATAAGATCCCCGGAGGATTGGGAGCAAAATGATAGGAATGGTGGATGCGTTAGAAATACTCCTTTAAATTGTGGCGCTAACAGGAGTACTGCAGGAATGACTGATAAATTCTACTCCTTGTCCAATGTGAAATTGCCTCAGAATGCTGACAACATAGGCTCTACTACCAGTGCTAGAGAATGTGCAGAAGTTTGCCTGAGAAATTGCTCTTGCACTGCATATTCTTGCACCAACAGTCGATGCTCTATTTGGCATGAGGAACTCCTCAATGTAAAACAACAGCATGCTGACACTACCGACACAAATGATGGTGCAGTTCTTTATCTTCGCCTTGCTGCAAAAGAGATACAAACTCAGAAACCTGGCAGAAGAGTGACCACTCAGATTTTGGCAGTTACCATTGTCGCTGCCCTAGGGTTACTGGTACTCATAGTGCTAGTTCTTATATTGATGATTCGGAAGAACAATAGGAGTTGGTCTGGTGGTACACTGATAAATCCTCAAGACGGTGGAATTATTGCATTTAGATACACTGATTTGCTGTGGGCAACAAGAAATTTCTCGGAGGAGCTAGGTGCCGGCGGCTTTGGTTCTGTGTTCAAGGCATATCTGACTGACTCGGTTACAATGGCAGTGAAAAGGCTTGATGGTGCTTGCCAAGGAGAAAAACAATTCAGGGCCGAGGTGACTTCAGTGAGGGTTATACAACATATCAATTTAGTTAGACTGATCGGTTTCTGCTGCGAGGGTGAACGAAGGTTGCTTGCATATGAGTACATGCCAAATTGCTCTCTTGACATCCATCTATTTCAGAACAACAGCACGGTTTTAAACTGGGGTACCAGGTTTAAAATAGCTCTGGGAGTTGCTAGGGGGCTGGCTTACCTGCATGAGAGCTGCCAAGACTTGATCATACACTGTGATATCAAACCACAAAATATACTCCTCGATGAGTCGTTCATTGCTAAAATTGCTGACTTTGGTATGGCCAAGTTAATAGGGAGGGACTTTAGCTGGGTTCTGACTACAACAAGAGGAACCGTAGGATACCTTGCACCTGAATGGATAAGCGGGGTTGCTATCACAACAAAAGTTGATGTTTATGGCTATGGGATGGTGCTAATGGAAATCATATCAGGAAGACCGAATTCGCTTGAACTATACACTGCAGGTGGTGATTGTGATGTTTTCTTCCCTGTGCATGCTGCACATATGCTTCTCGAGGGAGATGTGGCAAGCTTGGTGGATGAAAAATTATCTGGTGATGTGAATCTAGAGGAGGCTAAACGGCTATGCAAGGTTGCTTGTTGGTGCATTCAGGATGATGAGTTTGATCGGCCGATAATGGGAGAAGTTGTTCGTGAAAGTCCTGAATGCCTCCTCCTGATGGATCCCCCTGGCGGCGCTCCTGGCGACGCTCGTGGCGACGCGCCCCCGCCCGCGGCGGCCGTCGCCCTCACCGGCTCTCCCGTCGCCTGCGCCGTCTTGGCTCCCGCCGCCCCGTCCTCTCCACCAGCGCCGGCGGCTTCGGTCCTTTGCCCGCCCCCCGAGGCCCCCCCCTCCCTGCCTCCCGGCTGCGCTGGGCGGACCTCGCCGACGAACCCCCGTTTCCCTCCCCCGATGCCCCCTCCTCCCCTGTCGTTGTCACCCCTCGCCGCACCGCGCTGCCCAGCCGGGCCAGTGGCTCAGCCCCCCAGGAGCGGGGTTCTGCCACCGGCTCGCGGCTGCCGCGGTGGCCGGCGCAGCCCTCGAGCTCGCCTCGGGCTGGTTGGGGCCAAGGCACGGACTTGCGGCACGGGGCTGCTAGTCGCCGGCGAGTGCGGGCATGGGGTGTGGCTGGCCGTTCCGAAAGTGGCACCGCCCGCTTCTTCTGGTGCCGCCCGGTGACCGGTGCTGGCCCAGTGGCTCCTCCGATGCCGCTCGCGGCTCGTAGCGGCCCCGCGCCCTCGCCTCCAGTGCTGCGGATGTCTCCCTTCCGGCCGTTCATTGCCGCCATTTGTTCCTCTGCCCTGCGTTTCCGGTCATCTCGACCTGGCTTGTTCCCTGCGCCTGCTCGCTCCGGTGCCTCGTCGGCGGTGGCAGCGGCGCCATGCGCGTCCGGGGAAACCCTACGCGGGCACAGGCCGCCCCGCCTGCTGGGTTGAGCTCCTTCCGTGCTAGGTATGCTGGCCCCCGGCCCGGCCCATCCTTAGTGCCCGCCTACTGGGCCTCCTCCCCCTCGGCTGGGCCGGCCCGCGGGAGTTGGGCCTCTTAGTTGCCCTAGGCCCAGCTCCTGGCGACGCTCGATTTGGCTCCCCTGCAGCCTCCCGTTGGCCCCTGCTCTCTCTCCCACCGACAACTCCCTCCCCTCGAGCGCCCCTGTCCCCGCGAGCTCCCCTGTCCCCGTGCTGGTCGCCCCCCCCCTCCCCTCCCTCCTGGCCG